AACGCGCGCGTCGCGTCAACGAAATTCATCGATCAACTCAATTAACTAATTGTTCCCCCTCGGTAATTCGCCACTACTCTCTCTGCCTATCGTCACTTTCCTTCTCGCGCGCATCGATTCCTCGTCGGGGCGAGGAACCGGCGACGAGGGTGCTGGTGTCAAACGAACCGAGCTTTCACCGGAAACTACGGTTCCGCGTTCTATTCGTTATATTTTCCGTGTTCATTCAACGTGTTCGCGTGGCCGCCACTGGACGATTTCAGAGAGCTCTCGAAATGATCCACTTGACCGATGGGTCGGGCACGTTTATTGGTCACTGGGTTTACGTATCGATGGCCTTTGAATCGAGTTAACACGTGATCAGCTGCTGCTAAGATTACAGTCGGCCAGAGAAACTGAGAAAACAACCATCGAACTTCAAGTTCTGTACCGGGAAGCGATCAGAGTCGTAGATAAACCATAGCAGTCTCGTGTTTGAGCGGAGATGTAACAATCATAGCCAGCAGCTATACTTTATAGGAATCTCTGATCGAACGATTAATAAAGAATGGAAATCTCACTTAATTGTTGCATAATGTGGATCTTCTATGAGAATCTTCGCGAGTTAAGACGCCACGCGTATAGATCACATTCTGGTTAGGCAAATTGCTCTTATTCTCGCCTACAAATCAGTCGCCCGATTACATAAACTATTCTACTCGAAACACTAAATCTTTACAGCGAGTCGTTGAATTTTTATCCCATCCTAAAACGTTCCCCGTAATTCTATCTGTGTTATGTAATGCGCCATCTCGTTACGAAACTAATACCAACACCAATGGATGCCGACCGTTCTCTATTGTTCTAACGATCTTAAACGAGGAACCTTCAATCTTCTTGGTATATGGTTACTCTGTTTCATTGTGAGATCGTAATACGTGTTTTCTTCGTTTCGATGTATCGATTTCAAAGTTTCGCGATCCGCATGCTCCTAACTCGACTCACCACAGAAGTTTTTCCTTTCCCGCGAAGGAAACCAGATAAATCATGCTATGCATCGCAGTCACAGAGAAACGATAGAATCTAATTTCCCGCGGATGCCTTATCAGGCGGACCTTGAACGATCTGACCACACGTACTACGTGCATACGTGTCCGCCCACATGGTACTGGCCGCATACGTTGCTCGTTCGTGTTCACGCAGTATGCGTGCAGAGTCCCTTTCGAATTATGCAAATTCGTTGCAGCCACCGGTCGTATGATCCGACGCTGGACTCGACTTGAGGGTAAACTAATGGCGATAGCCTGGACGTTGGCCTAGCTAGGAAACGTCCAGGGCTACGTGCCACTCTGCAACCTCGCCCCCAGCTCCTCCAGGCTAAGATCCCTGGATAGTGATTGGCAGGTCCCCGACAGTCCTCTGGGTCTGTCATCAGAACTGTGCGGGCGTGACTGCGACAGATTTGGACCAAGGGAATCACTTCTTACCTCCCATGAATGTCGATTCGATTCGATTCGATTTGATTCAGCCTGTTGGCTCCTACGCCAACCGTTTACCATCGCAATTGATTACTTCTATTTGAGAGATAGTTGCGTGCAAAGATCTCTTCGATTGATCTTCGTCGATGATTGGTAGAAGCATCTTGATTCGACGGAATGGACAGTTTGGTTCTTTTTTAGATTTTTCTGACGGTATAAGAAAGGATTCTGATATGAAATTTACTGTGATGCTATGTGGTGAGTCTGAGAAAAATGTTGGTTCCGTGAGCTGCGGGAGGTTTCAATACCAATTGTTTTACATTTCATGCACAAAGCTAGTGGAATGTTATTCTCTTTTATACGCTTTATAGCGATGTATCCCTTCTAAAATATGTAACATAAGTTGAAAGCGTTGGAGCTCCTTTCGTAGAACACGGGGGCCAGAAGCAATATTCAAAAGATTCAACAACTTCAAAGAGGAAAGAATCGTGATTTACATTAGTAACTAAATATTTTATAATAAGAAATTTTATTGATTTCTTACAATTTTAATATCAGTTTCGTTGGATATAGTAACTTATTAGAGATAGAATGGGGTCTTGTCTAATAATTTTACGATAACGACGCGAACCGAAAAATAGAAAATTAAGATCTCCGAGGTTTAATCAATTTGCGACACGAAAAATGTATGTATATCAATTTAGTGCATTTGAAAATCGGTCGATAATGACTAGTTTTAGCAGTAACACGATTATCTCAGTTGATTTTGTAATTGCACGAAAGGACATTACCTTGACTAGGTTAAAGAAATGATACCAACTCTAAAGCTGTGATCTCGCGTGCTTGTAGTCGAAAGGTTATAGGAACTTTCTCCTTTTTCTATAAAACATGGATACTACTTCGAAGTGGGCTGATAGCAAAGCGTCACTGGTTATTGATTTTTTTCTTTTAATAAAACGGCATTTAATATCCATGTTGATCCAACTTTTAATCCTAAGTTTCTAAACTTTAGTTCGCACAAATGGAAAATGTTACAAAATCAAATTAAACAATCGATACATCATTTCACATTATGACAGTTAAACGTGTTGTACATACTTAATTATAATTTTATGATTGAATACAAATTGTTATTTGTTATATTCTCGAGTATGAGCAAAATCAAAAGATCGAAGTTCAATCCATAGCATATCTGTATGAAGCGAATTACTTTCTAACACGAGATTTAATAAGGTTCGGCTGTAAGCTATGGATACTTTGCTCGAACAATAAAAGCAGAAGGGAACTATACCGCGATTCGCATCCCATTGTTCACAAAGTCACATGCACGATTTATTTACAGCAAATGATTTCAAGGTATGGCATGACTTATATGCAAAGACAAGAAAAAAAAACATGAAAAACAAATTTCATCGCATAGCGATACCGCGGTATTATGTCTTGGTTTAAGTATCATCCACTTTGAGATGCATATAAAGTGGTGTTAATGGAATTTTACTCTTAACCCCCGTGCTGATATACGATAGATTTTAAGCTACTGCGACTTCTGAACAACCTTTCATATCTTCGTGTGTCCTGGACTTCGATTTCGTTGCTTTCAAAATGTGCATATAATTACAACTTGGAAAAACTTTGAGACACAAGTACGATCGTTTATTCAATTTTTGGTATTCTCCTTTTGCTTTACGGCACTCTCGTTGCAGCGCTTTTAATATTAAAGCAGTTCGGTAAAAACAAAAGAGAATTTAGGTCAGAAAGAGCTCGTTTATTATACTTTCTACGATGTTCATAAATCAACGAATTGAATATTTTCTTTCGAATTTCTGCGAGTTTTGCGTTTAATATACATATATATGTATATTATATACAGTATATTATATGTACATATATATATATATAATACATATAATAAAATATTCAATGAAAGAAAATATTCGATTCGTCATATATATATACGAAATGAAAATGTAAAAAAAATATATATATCCGTCAAAATCACTCGAAGTATCAGCGACAAGCATAAATTAACGTAGCATAGAGCAGCAAGAGATCAAAGGAGGTGAAGCAGGGTGGCGACTGGTGACTGTTCGAGCAATCAGAACAAACTGTAGCGCGAAAATACGATAACTGGACGTAACGAACCACTCGGATATCCTCGTGGTGAGCGTAAACAGTTATAACCCCTGCAAACCATTCCAACGTCTCAATTGGCCTCAACAAAAATATATCGTATGCTATCGTGGCGCAGGTACGTGTTCCAGGTAGAAAAATCCACCAAGGACTCGCCACTTGAACGATGCTCTCCAAATACCATGACCGAAAAGAGCGTAATAGGATAAAAGGTCAAGCGTTTAACTGGAAACGACGCGCGGGCTGTAATACGCGAGAATTACGTCCATGAAAATCGCTGACGCGTGCATCGGTCGTTGGTGAAAAGTCGAGTTGCAGGAGAGACGAACATTTCCACGTTATTGGCACGCTCGTGTTCTCTCGCTCGCTCGGCTGACCAGGCGCCGCACGCTGCTGCTTGGCGCTCTTCACGTAACTCGCGTGATGGTAATCGCGATGCGAGTTGAGTCGGGTCTGGTCCATAGACGAAGAGATTCTCTCACGCGTTTTGAAAGAGACAAGAGGCAAGTAAGAGAAATCGGGCAAGTAGTGCAGGCGAGCGGGTGGTCGGACTTTTTCGCGAAGCAAGAAGCGAGCGAGTAAGCGAACAGGCGAGCAGGCGAACAGGCCGCGGTCGGAGGCGGGTACGCGG